TGATATGAGGAGAAATTCTTGATACATATGATAAGCTTCAGAAAAGTATAGGGAGTTTGGAGGGTTGAAAGAAGAGTAACTGAATTCATGATCCAAGATGCTTGCTATTTCATTTCTCTAAACTACTTCTGACTTCTTCCTTTGAAAGTCTCATAGATCCCACAAAGGATTTTATCTATGGTCAACAGAGATGAATATTCAGCAAGAAAGAAAGAAGTTTTTCCTAGATGGAGAGGTATGACTAACCCTCTTGATTGCCCTAACAGACAGTCCTGAAGCTCCCAATAGCAAACGATACTCTGTGCCAAAATTTTTTCTGATAGTACTGCTTGCCCTTGGCCCATTCCTTACTACCTGGAAACACTTGGCATTCAAGGCTTTCGGACTTCACGGGGTTTATGCAACACAGAGCTGTAAAAACATAAAGACTGTCAGCTCCAGAGATATTTTTGTCCTCTCTGCGGGATTCAAGGATAAGCAAAGAGAAGTTAGCAGAATTATGGTACTGTGTTAGGAGCCAGTTCTGCACTGGCTGAAGAGCTTGTTGAACTTGTACAATGCAGAGGGTACGGTCTAGGTGTGTTGTGCCATCTGCTTCGAAAGAAAAGGCAAGGGAGAATTTTAACAGCTGTTTGTTGAGTCAGATACTCATCCCTGATTGTTTGTGCCACAGTGGCAGATTACTGCCAAAGAAATGCATCCCCTGTTGCTTAATAGACCTGACCTGGATGTTATAAAGTTACACCTGCTGGAAACAAGCCTTATGATGTACTGCTCATAAAATGCCAGTGATTCTACTAGAGAAATGCATGTTGAGTTCATCCTTGTTTCTCTTTGTAGCTAATAGTGATAGAGCAGGAGGCAGCGGGGGTATATCCCAGCAAGGTGACTAGGGCCTGAGCATGACGCTCCATATTGTATTCAGGTTTTCCCCAAGTATGCTCAGTTTTGTTGGGTATGACATACTGCATGTGAGTCACTCATATTCTGCATGAGTCATATGTTGAAGTGTGAAAGCATTGCTGTGTCTCTGCCGTTGTTACCCGTTGCTCAGCTGCTGCCATACCACATAGCTCAAGCCAATTGAGCTCACCTTCCCAGTTTGAGCCAGCTCTCATCAGCTGCCTGAGCCCTTTAAATGTGATCCAAGGTTCTGCCCAACATATAGCAAACGTGAATGCCGTATGTGCTTGGGTTTTGGTTTGAGTTATCAGTCTGTGGGTTAGAACCTCCAAGTGTTCCTCTGAAGGGATCATAAAGTGCCTAGAAAACCGTATGCATTTTTAAAATTTATTTTAAAAATGAAAATAATTTAAGAAACGTTTTATAATACACACACATGGAGCACTGGAGAGCTAGTGTGTTTGTCTTCCTCATACACCTGACTGTGTAAGACTACACACATCGCTTAAAGATCAGATGAGCCAAGAGTGGTTCACCCCTTCAAAGTCTGAGAAATTCTGGTGCAGTCATACTCCAGAGGTCATTACTCAGTTGTGAAACATCCATTGTGGACTAACGCAGGTGTTTTTTTCACTTATGAGAAAATGGACCTTTAGTTTATAGGATGTTTGTAAGAAGTTGCAGGATTGATTTCGGCTAAAGCCATCAAGATGTTCCCTTTCATGGCTGTGGTCATCACATAGAGCCCTTGGTTATTTGTGATGGAGACATTTTGTTCCAGTTAGGTGATAATTAATGCTTCTGGATTAAATCTGTTCAATACAGAACACAAAGCAGGGTACAGTTATATTGTACCTGTCATTTTAAGTGTCCAGTGATCCTCCAACATTGCGTGATTCATGCGTCTGAAAAAAATGATTTGCCTAAAAAATTATTAGTGCTTATTCTGCCTGCAGAACCCCCTTAATTCCTGTTACACATGTCAGCATATTATGACTGGGAGCTGTCAAATTCTAATGACTAAAATTTCATTTTTCTGTCTTTTCATGCTGTGTTTGAGAACTATAGGTTGGGAATAATTCCCTAGTTAAATTTCTTCAAATGGTAAACTCAACTGTTTGTGCTCTCTCTTTTTCTGTTTTTTTCTAAATTTGTGTTTACATTAGTGCCTTTCTCTTTCCTTATGTTTCTCTAAGAGAAAAAAAATTGATTTTCTTCCCAGAACTACTGTCCATTTTAAAGAACGTAATCTGAGTTGACAGCAGACAGATTTGATGCAAAATTATTTTTTTACCCACTGATTTGATCAAAACATGGATTATTTAAAAGAAGGAGGAGGAAGAAGCAAGGTTAGTAGGAAACAAAATGCAGAAAAAACTCTTACCGTTTCATGTGGTTAAATAACCTTGACACTGGAAAATATTTTTGCCATCCTCCTTGAAACAGGAATTTGTTGACACAATGTTCAATAATAGAGATACAGGACTAATGTTAGCATACTGCAAATACTGAACCAAATAGTATCTATTGATCCACCTGTTATTATGCCTGTTACTGAAATGCTGTATGTAAAGCAAAGGAAACCAGTTTCCAATTTAAGTCATTAATAGATTGGTTTTGAAATTTATGTTACACATGTCCAACAAATCAAGAATAAAAGCATGTGAAAGGCTGTGTAGTCCGTATTGAATTACTCATTCTTTCCACAGTAAAAGCCTTTAGCTAGAGATTGACCAAAGAATTTTAAATATCTCATTATATATATGTCATTGTTCAAAGTGTCCCTAAATGGGATTAAACAATAGTCACTCAAGAGTTTCCTGCAATGTCTATTCCCCCTCTCACCCCCCCTTCCCCTCCTCACCTTGACTTAAATTAAGGCTAATGATATGTTTTCAGTGTAAGGTAAAAGAAGGATTTTCCTTGAATGACTTTCCAACATTTTCAAATCTAATTCATTGTAAGTACTTCTATCAAATGATTACTTATTTCATCTCATTGTCTTAGAGGATTTAACTCTAAAACACACATGTTTGATATGGACTTAATGACCGTGTTATAAACTGAAACCAGCTGAAGCAGTATTCGCCTACAAATTTCTGTTTGTGCTCAGAATTAAAAATAATGCTAGGACTATTTTTCGAAGAATAATAGATTTTTTTAAATGACTGTTTTTCCCCTTGCATGTACTAGTTTTTCTTGGCTGCTGATTCTTCAATAAAAGGTTGGAGATAGCCCCATGGGCTGCATGCGAGAGGGAGGAAAGGGGACAGCAGAAGGAACAGTGGAGAGAGGCTATTTTTGGATAAATATCTATTTTTTGAGTACCAACTCAATGACACTACACATTTTTAAACAAAAGTCCTATTTCAAAAAACATTCTCCTTTCCTAATCCTATGTAAAGAATATTTCTGCAACCATAGGCATAGTAACACTAAATATCTTTATAAGGAGGAAAGAAGCAAATAGTTTTGGTTTCTCACCAAAAAAAAAAAAAAAGTCAGGATAATTAAGGTAGCGAACATATTGCGCTGCTATATTGGTTCAGTCACCTGATCTGTCTCTCCGATCACTATTTGCACGATATACATGGTTTTGACGGGCTTGTGATAGACTGCTGTCTGAAATTCTTTAATCTGGGTCTCCTGTTTGGCAGTGCAGCAGACTTTGCTATTTTGGGTTTTTGAAACGGAGCCATGCTCTGGGAGGATAAGAGATAGCTGTGACTCTGTACTGACTCATCAGTAGGAAGGGAAGCCAGGTAAACTTAAAACCGACAACGGTCCTGTTGGTGCTGCCCCTTGTGCAGATGCACAGCAGAAGTAATCCCACTGAAATCCGTGGCGTTACACCTGTGTGCAAGTTTATATAGGTCTGAGAATCAGGCCCAAAGAGTTTCAGGGTACCATAATAATAAAATAAACATTCAAGCCAGCAGGAGGTATATGGGGAAATATGACCTTTCTGAGGCTTTGTTTGAGGAGGCAAAACTGCTAAAGTCCCACTCCGAGGACAGTCTGTGGTGTTGCATCAAGGAATTATTTTATCACAAAAAGGTAGATGCTGCTGAGTCTGTCTTTGGCCTGTGTAGGAGAGAAATTCATTTCATGATAAGAAAACCTTTGCCCTCTGCTCCCCGATCACAAAAGATAGCGAGGAAGACTGAGTTTTATTAAATAAATAAAATAAATAAATATTAAAAATCTTGATTTTGTACAAGGAATGAGGATGTGAGGAACAGTTTAAATACAAAATACAATGACTCAGTCTGTTCAAATCTATATTTTACCATATTATTTGCATTCTGACTTTGAGTCAAGTTGAATGTGAACTTCTTAGTGACCCTGGCTACACAGGTTGTGTATAACTCTCCGGAGTTCAGACAGAACTAAGGGATGGGAGTGCAAAAAGCAGGGGGAACCCCTGGCAGAATGGCCTTATTCCCATGGCCTTTCTACTTGGGCCTATAGACATCTCCTCTAAACTTTTTTCCCTATGTGACTTGAGAATGAAAGCTGACCAGCTGGCTTTCTACGCATGGGTTTGAGGAGGTGCATCGCTGAAGGTAGGTACCATTTAGGAAGTAGGAGCTGTCAGTTCCCTGTTGCTTTCATTTACAGGGACTTGTCAGGTCTTTCCTGTGTACTGCACGTTATTTTCATCCAGAGCATTACAAGAGTGTTTAAAAACCTTAACGTAGCTAGGATTTTTTTTTTTTTTTGAGATGAGGAATGAATCTACAGCTAAAAGGGCAAGTGGAGTCTGCAAAGTTTATATGAACATGCTATCAAGAAGAAAGATCTCTAAATCAGTCTGTACATGAAAAAATTAAGTAAACAATGTTTTCTTTACTTTGGTTTGAGTCTGTTAGCTCTGGTTATCTCCTGCTTGTGTGCACAAGGTGTATAAAGAACCTCGCTTCTTTTAAGGGGCAGGATACAACTGAAACCTTTGGGGCAGATCCTTTGCTTCAGCACTTACACTTCGGATCTGTCTCTGATGTTCAGCTGAGGGTGCAGTTACTTGAACATTGTTTTGATGCTAAAATCCATTTATGATGTTCCCCATTCGTGATCTGTAGTTTGCTGCATTCTAGGTTGAACAAGACCATTTGTGAAGACGTCCTGTGAAGTGACTCTTTGGCATAGCCTGTCTTTAATCCACGTTTGCCACAAAAGGAAAGAGCGTACCGTCAAGGAGTGCTTCTTGCTCACATCAGAGAAGCTTGTAAGCAATCAAAGTAAGCTTTTCCCCCCTCTCCTCTCAAACAGAAAAATTGTGGCAGGATTTTTCTGAGTGTTGTTACCAAACAAGAATGAAAGGCTTTCAAAGGCTGTTCCTATAAGGCTGGGTTATTCAGTACTCCTTTGCTCCTATAGACTCTGTGAGATTTCCCTTGCAAGTTACGGAGAAAGGTATTAGATCCCAAATGAGGTTACACAGATTGTCATCAAAACAAAAACAATGGGGGAAAAAAACCCATCCACACAGATTTTGTACCGTATATCCCCTAAGTCAACTGTGAATAAAATTGCTGATTTTGTTTTGCAGGAGACATGATTTGCTAGCTGTGAACGTGTAGGGCAACTGTCTTGTGTTTCTGAAAGTGCCTGCAAAAATGGAAAGATTCACAGAGTTTGCAATGAATGTTTCTCAAAATTTGCATGAGAGTGTGTAATTTGCCTCTTGTTAATCGTTATTTTCCTTCTTAAAATATTTCAGTTGAGTAACAGCAATGATACTATGACGGGGATTAGCTTTACATATTTGTTTACATTTAGTATTTATATTGCAGTCAAGCGTAGCAGCTCTCCTCAGGGACTGATGTCTATTCACTGCCTCCAGTGCAAACTGCTGAGTGCTTTTGTCCTGATCTGGTTCTTGCAGCAGAGATACTCTCACGCTTGAGGTTCTCTGCTGCATGGGAGAGTAGAAGATCAGCATCTTCCAGCTCAGGTCTGGAATGCTTTATTTTGAAGACTTTAGATAGGCTGGCCCTCAAAGGCCAGGCAGGCCAGGCCCAGCACAGGTTTATGTATGTCCTGAACAACTCATCTGAGTTCAAGCTAATCTCTGCAGGATTAAGATCCTGAAATTTAAGTGACTAACTCAAGCAGCATGAGTGGCAAATAATCTATATAACCAGTCCATGAACAGCCTAAAGGCTGAAAGCTCTTGCTCCTAGCCTGTGAATGAACTAACAAACATGGAAGACCAGCTTCAGTTCACAAAGAAAGATTCACTAATCAGAAACAAAATGGGAGTGAGAGAGAATGGGGTGGTTACCAGGATGAGAAGAAACAAATCCTTAGTAAATAGTTTCATTTTCTTAATATTTCTTTGTTGTCAGGGTGTAAATTAACTGCATGGCATTCAAAGTTATAGAAAGGCTGGGCTACAGAAGAAAATGTGCATGTGAGCTCCAAGGGCAGTAAGCAAATCTGTGAAGAAATCATAGCCCTAATGCAAAATTTATAGGAGCTTATTTCCAAGTGGGTAATAGTGTACAAATTCCTCAGGACCATAGATGAGTTAAAGGAAGATGTCATGCGGGAGGACACTGTAGAAAACAACCCATCAGCTGCTACCCCACGTGTCAGACCCAGAGGCAGCTCCAGAGCCATTAACACAACTGCCTGGGGAGTTTGACAAGGAAAAAGATTCTGACACTGGAATAATATCTGCCAGCACTTGGCATCTGTGTCCCGTGACGGCCAACCATCCTCCATGGGTACTGACACCGCTGCTGGAAAAAAGAGGAAAGGGAAAGCAGTAGCAGAGAATTATCTGTTCTCATACAAACTGGTAATTTTCACAGTAATTTGGAATCAGGACCTGGAAATGCAAATCTTTTTGTCCATGCATATCTGCAATTTGTATTTAAAAAAAAGGCAAGTATCAAAACTATATTTTTGAAAAATATTCTGGGATATTTGATTTTATAGGTATAACATAGTGAGTGACAAAAATCATTGAAATGGTATTTTTGCAGGTCTCGTGCTTCACAGAGCATACATGACCTCACCCTGTGCTGGCACTAGTTTCTAATTTCTAGGGTGGAAATTATTCTTATTTAAGCGAAGTGTTTGGTTGTCATACACATTTTTTTCTGTTTGCAGTCAGATTGATAATCTGAACCTCAGACAAAACGTAGTAGTAAGAAAGAACTAAATCTGGCAGTTCCTATGCAGACATCACTGGTATTTGGGAAGCACGCAGGAGGAGAAGCAGTTTCCATTTTGAGAAGTGGCTTTTCAGCTGAGATGCTGCAAACGGCTGCAGCTTGGATGCTGCCTGGTGTTCTGTAATGCTTCACTTAACAGGGGATACCCCAAACCCATTGGAAATCTGATCACCTGGCAGTTTGAAAATTGCAGATTTTGTTTTTGAGTATGTTAGCTATTTAAAATCTTGGTCCACCACTTAATTCCAATGTCAAAGTTTTTCTGGATAGTTTTCCTACTGCTACTGAAGCTGGCCCTATGAACTCCCTGAGGGACATGACCGGGGGCTTGCTCCTGGGGGTTTCTGGTGCCCAAGTGAAAGACTGGTCTAGGAGGTCCAGCCCCGACAGACTTCTGGTTAAGTATGTACTTCCATAAACTTGCTGGGCTAATGTTGTTTGCAATAAACAGCAAATATGCCTGTAAATATCCTTTGAGCCAATGTGCAGCGTTCATCTGAACTCACATATGACTGCCTCTGCAGCAGCAACATTTGTCCATCCCTCATCATCCCAGTGGGATTCAGCCTGAAAAAAGGCAACCAGCAGTATTTGTCCTTGCTTGAGCCAGTGTCCTCTTTGCACCTTACATTTGAAAATGGCCCCCCCTTCCCAAACCATTTGTCTTATTTGTTGCTCTCGTGACACTGAAAGAGCTCCCTGCTCGTCGTGGCTGCAATTATCGTTATGGCTGAAGCACCGGTACTGGAAGTAAGAGTCCGGCCCTTGAGAATAGAAGGCTATAGCCTCTAGCATGTTGTTCCAGTCCACTGGCGTCTTAACTAGACAGCGTTAGTTTTAGCATAAAATCCATATTCCTAACCTTATGGAGGAGCCAGGCAGGTTCTGTTTTCTTTTTCCTTTTACTGAAAACATCAAGCAGCCCGACACAAAGTTCACGGGATTAAAGAATGTTTTTCTGTCAGCTTTTTGCCTCTGCATCTGTGTCGTTTACCTGTACCCTGCGAAGGGTGCGGTGCACTCTCTAACAGCAAGGGGTAGTGAGAGAATAACCCTATCCTGAAAATAAACTGAATAATTTATTATTTAAATGAGATTTTGTGAGGTAAAACGATGAATCCAGTACAGCCCCCTTCTGAGTTTTAAACATTGTTTCTTCGAAGGCATAAATTTGCTTTGCAAAGGTTTCTTGATCTACTGTAGACGGTATTCCTACTTATGCTACATGGTGACAAAACCTAAAGAGGGAGTCAGATGTGTGCTCTACAGTACTTGAGAATTTAAGTTAAATCTGTAATTTTTCCCCCTGCATTTCCTCAGAGAAATTAGCTATTCTATTCACTGCATAAATTTTCAGGTTTTGCTAGCACGACACTCAGGGTGTTGAATTTTTTATGACAAAAATGCTGTAATAATTGTTGAACAGATGTAAGTGTTGGAGAGTGGGCTCTGGCAGACCTCATGAAACCGCTATTAGCAATTTAACCCTGTCGTTACTTGAATGAAATGGAAGTGGAAAAGGACAGAGTTTTGAACTGTTTGATTCAGACATGCACAAGGGGTTCCCAGGTGAGGGGTAAATGACCTTTAATTAGACATATTCCTTATGAAAGCAGAGATAAAAAAAAATCCTAATTAGCACTAGCTCCATACTACAGCGCTGTTAGGACTTTGGACTGTGATGTGTGGAGCTAAGAATAATTCTGGATGGAGATATCCCACCCAGTCCAGTGATCTGTGCTGTCTGAAATGTTCACAGGACTGAATCCTGCAATTTTAGGTCAGTCTCTGTAATACGCCTCCCCTTCACTGCAGCTCAATTTGCAAACGATGACAAGACAAAAACTTTATGTCCAAGAAACTAGAGGAGCATTAGATTTTCCACACCTGCCATATTAAATAAACGGCTTTTGAAGCTTACAGGGCAACATATAACAGTTACACCTCAAAAAAAAAAAAAAAAAAAAAAAAAAGGAAAAAAAAAAGAAATAAAACGAAAAAAGAAAGAAAAAAGAAAGAAGAAGGGAAAAAAGAAGGATTTGCAGAAACCCGTGATTCGCCACCTAAAAAGAGAGATGTTATTAGGGATTGCCCAGGGAGTTTGTTGCAGATTCTTCTGAATCAAAGAAGGGGATTGAAAGAAAATGGCAGCCCATCAGCAGCATAGTCACAGGACAGGGCTTGTGGTTTCTCTGAGTAACTGAGGGAACTTACCCTGCCGATAGATGATGTTAAAAGAAGGCTTTTTTCTGTAGCTTTGTACCTGAAACAGAGATTTGGTGAATTTGTGTGTAGAAATACAGACACACACAGACACCCACTCATACAGGCATCCACATAAATATACCCATTCCTAAAAATATGCAAGCATTTCAAGCTAGTCTTGGTAAAGAATTCTTATCTTAAAATAGTAACTTATATTTGATAGAAGACAGTAACTAGTAAGCTATTACTTATGGAGTCCTGCACTAGACATGGGCAATGTAAAAGTGTAGGACTGTTTTGAGATATTTTGTCATATGCATGTATTCTGAATTTTTCAAGTTAGTGGATAGGCTTGGTTTGGTGTATCCCACTTTGCTATTGCAATTCCAGTTAGGAGAGGAGCTTATAAAAGGAAATAATATGTTAGTATCTATCTATGTTACCTCTAGAACAGAGGTAAAGATGCAGAAGCCTATCCTGAGTGATGTTATCTATCTCAGGAATTAAGTTACTTTTCTTGGTTTCGGCTTGAGTGTACAGAAGGCTAAAACTTTTTTGGGGTTTTTTTGTGTGTGTTAACATATATAAAATCTATGTGTGTGTCTGCTCCATCTGCTTTTGTTTTACATGCCCCTGTGGTGCTTAGTGAGGCATGGGGAACTTTAGTGCAGTGGCTCAGAAGTTTTGTGGATAAAAACAGGCAAATTATATTCTGGCTCTAATTTATGGCATACACGATAGCATGCATCTATAGGGCAAGTTACTAAAAAAATAAAAGATACGTAAGTTAGTCCAAATCTGTGTAGGTATTAGACGAGCTAACTGTGCTTCTCTGGAACGGCAATGTTTTCAAAGGCTGGGAAGATGTTTGAACACCTGGCTATTTCTTTATACACATTTACCCAACCGGTTATGTTAGTGAGTATAAACAGAGGTATTTCTGGTGCATCTACATCTTCAAGAGCATATTCAAACGCTTGTAAGTGGACTGCTTCAGAGACATACTTTCACAGCCCTTCCCTGTGTGCAGCTTATTTGCAACCTGGAATTTTTTCTGCTTCTTTTTGTTGTTCTTTCTTGTGCTGTGTTCTCAGAGCCTTATAAGTAAAGCAATCTTAAGTAGGAAGCAATGTCTAATAGAAGTGCAGCAGAAAGTAAGATAATAGTCTGGAGAAAATGTCACTGGTAGATTTGATTATATTTTCAATGTACCTGCTGCCTATTAACTATATAGATACAGCAATTCAAAGAATTTGTTTTGGGTGATTTATTGGAGAGATACTGTTCTCATCCCCAGAATACAGCATTTCTAGTTATATGTTCATTTCAGATTTAATGAAAGAATTGCTGTATTTCTTAGGGTGCTCAGATTCAAAACAGGGACCGTCTGTAGGGCGTCGCTCTGTAAAGCTGAGGTGATGTTGTCATGATTTAGGAAAGAACACATGCAAAACTTGCTCCACAATTGAACTCCCCCTCTCTCAAAACAAAACCCCACACCCAAAGTGTGACTTGTGGCCTTTGCAAATTTGGATGGTCAGATCTTCTTAGAAAGTGCTCATTTGTTTTTTTATCAATTTGTCAGTCAGTATTGAAATCTGGTCTTATTTCCCAAGCTTTGAAGAGGCTCTTTATCTCACACAGACTTCTAGAGAGACCCTTTGCAAATATTACAGCTATTTACATCTTTTGTTTAAACAGGAAGAATATTTAGGAAAGCATGAGGTATCTGAAGCTGTCTAGCTTAAGAGAAGCTGGATACCTGAAGGATGGACTTGAAAGTTTGAATTCATTGCTACTAAGTGTGCATTTTCCTTCCCTGGTTTCCCAGCCTAGACATAGCTCAGCAACCTGGTGGAAGTTCATTGGGCATTGAGCTATAAATACACAATGTCACTTACATGTACATTCCAGCCATGCAAAAGAAAAGATGTCTTCAGTAACTATCCTGTAAAACTTGCAACAGGGAGTATTGCTCTTTACAAGCCTATATATAAGTGTTTTTATCTCTTAGTGCTACACTAGAAGAGTTAGCAGGAGTTAACTTTACAGATATATTTTAATTATTCTTGTTGTCAATAATCAAACATATGAAGAATATATATTGACAGGAAAGAGCTAAAAAAAATTAAAATTAATCTCATATTTATTATCTTTATTAAGGTCATCCTAAGATCACAATTGGAAACTGAAAGACTGGAAGGAAGCTGGTGATCAAACGTATTTTCCACTGTGGCAAGGGCTGTATGAAGACACTAGAAGACAGATGCTGCTGTATGAGCTTATGATGTAAGCAGATGAAGACTGACTTGGTTTTGCTCCAAACAACAGTGCCACACAGGTGCAAAGCCAAAACTCTACCCTGTGCTTCCTAAAGAGACTTCCAAGTTATTTCTCTTCTCTCAAGTATAGTAGTGTGCTTGGACACCTGCTTGTGCTTGGTTGGTACTCTGGAAATGAACCTTTAGTGAAGTGATGGGCAGCATACTCTCTCTAAGGAAGAGTCTGTGAATGAGCTACAAGAATAGGGAGCAATTAGTGAGCTGGAGGCTTTTCACCAGTGACACTGAAGCCTGAATGCTCGTTAAGTGAGTGAGGGAACTGAAGTTATGGGTTGACCATCAAGCACTCTCAGTAGCAAAATCCAGTGTCTTATACGCTCGTAAGCTGGAAGTCAAAGTGAAGCAGCCCTTTTCCCTTTCTGGAAAGCCTGCGTGCCCCTTGCTCAAGGACTGAAAGAAGGGAAATACAGCATAATACATTCCTGAGACCAGGTCATTACAAAGCTGTAGATTAGAAACTGTAAAAATAAGAGTCCTAAGGAACTGGCACTTAAGTTAATGAAAACTAAAAGACTCTTGTCATAAGTCAGAGAATTAATCTACAGAAAAAGTTCAAACTTCGTTTTAATCATGTCATCTGCTTATAAGGGTTGACTGAGTGGTTAATGCAGAAAAAGAATATATTCCCAGAATTTCAGCTGTAATTCAGTCCAGCCTAACTGGAAAGTGAGCTGCGCCTTGAATCAGTTTAGTTACTGATTTTCAGTGTTTATCTTTGCCCTATAGGAACCAAATCAAAGTGGGATTCTCACATGTAAAAACCAAGGGGAAAAAAAGAAAAAGTGAAAAACAAAGTCCAGGCCTCAAAGAATATTGCCACTGAAGTCATTCTGTTGATGTATACATGACTGAAGCATGGCATGGGGAAAATCTCAAGATCAAGCCCTTTTTCCTGAGACCTTTGGCTCAGTACTCAGTTATGAGACCGATTGTCAAACACAGCTTTTCCACTGTTGTCTGTAATGGTATGGTCAAAGAAAAGGGCATGTGAGTAAAATTCATTGATTTTTGATGCAGGACTCTAGGTTTTACCTATTTCTTATTGTCACCTGTGGAGAGTTTACCAGCTCTCTTATTTGCCAAGATATGATGGTTAATTATGACCTTGAACTTTGGTTTCTGTCACTGTTGCTTCTCAGCAGTCACACACTGACTTTTCCTTTGCATAAAACGCCTCAGTTCATATGGGCTCAAGGGCAAAAAAATTAGCTAATTTTTCTTCAGTGTATGTGAATCATGCCTTGCCTAATCTCAGTGTAAATCTGGGGTCAGTGGTACTATGTGTAAAGCTCTCTTTGTACTGTTGGAGCGTGTCTGCATTAGAAGTTTATATTGCTGTAGTTACAACAGCGTAACTTCACTGGTGCAGGAGTCATTGTAATTAATGCTGGGGGCACAACAGCCCTATTGGTTTTATTCATAATGAAGACTAAAGATGGAGCTTTTAAAAGTGCCGAAGTGACTTACAAGCATAACTTTTGTTGTATCGCAGGTCACAGATTCATTAATCACTCTTAAACCATGTCTACACAAGGAGATTTTATCCCCACCAGCCAGAATACTGTAATCATGTGGCTATATTCAGAGTACAGGAGCAGATCCATGATTTCAGATAAGAAACTGTGTCAGAATTTTTTTTTTATGGGACTTATCTAAATAACATATGCATCCATACTGCAGCAGTTGCACCTCTTGAACTGAAACAGCACAACCCTCCGTGTGAACAAGCACGAAAGGATTTTGATAATCCCACACCTTAATGGTGGTGGTCCTTTAGCTAAATAGCTGGGATTTTAGATCTGATCTCATTTTGTTGGTGTTTTTGTCAGAGGGATGAGAGAAGAATCTATAAACCAGTGGCGTCTGAAAGAAGATGATCTGAAATCACACAGTTTACTGGTGTCCTCTACAATCCAACATGCAGTTGGCTATCTGTGTCCTCATAAGCAAAAGTCACTTAAGTTACAGGGAATCTGTAAGGCTTCAAGGAAAGGGAGAGTTTTTTTCAGGAGGACCATTTTATTTCTACAGGTTACTGTATTTCTGCTGGAAGTGCTAGAAAAGCAAGATTATGGTGTGTGTGTTTTTAATACAAAAAGTAGATTTGCTGATATAACTGTTATTTGCACTGTTTATATTCAAATGTCCTTTAAAAAAAGCATCATCAAAATTTACAGATAGTAAGAGTGTGCATATCAGAACACTTATCTTCTTTTTATAGACTAAAATCAAATTATTCCTCTCATTTTTCTCAGTTACAGAATATTAGATTGCAGTGTCTGTAAGTTACTTGCTTTTTCAGAAAGGTATATTCCAAACCCAAAATTGAATACCACAACAAGACTTTTTAATGTTTTTAAAAATTCTCAGCAATTATTACTTGTCCTACTGTATCAACCTAGCATCGTTTGTAAACCTTTCCATGGCAGTGGAGAGTAGCTCACATCACAATCAGATTCTTAATTAATTACCGTGTAGCCTGCTACCTTAAAAATACAGGTCGAAAAATGGTATGTTAACCTTTTAATTTTTTTTTTAACCTAATAAAATAACCAACTTGTTTTGTGACCTGTAATTCTGAATCTGATTGAGTTTTCAATATACTGTAATTCACAGATTTTCTCCCCTCTAGCACTAGGTTTGTATCTGTCACATGGTTTTCAGTGTTCCTAATGAGCTGTTAACAAGCTGTCAATTACCTATGCAAATGAGGCAAGCAAAAATGGAGGGGTTGCTGTACCTAGAGTTAAAGTGTGCTACCTCGGATTGTTACGAAATAAATCATTTCGGTTTTAATAGCTGTCTGTGCCCATGTGGCTTGTGTCATGTAGGCACTTTTTCATTATATTATTTACCCAGCAATAAAATGCTGCAGGGGACTTTGGGGGTGATTAAAAAGTTGAGGGGGGAGGGGAACTCACACAAGCAACTTCATTTTTTCCTGCTTTGCACCTTCTGCTCTTCTTGGGTCGGGGCTACAAGGCTACAAGCTGTCAGGTGCCCCCAGCCCTGTTGAAATCAATGACAATTCAGGAGTTTTGGCCTGATCCTGACAGAATATTTAACAAATGTCCTTGCCGAGATATGTAATGGAGCCTTACAAGCATATATAGTTAAACAGAGAAACCAGGAACTGAAATCTTGAATTTTGGCGAGAAGTGTACATTTTAGGTATGTATTCTCAGCCTCCTAAGAGCTTTCTACTGAAAAACCTGGCAGGAGAAAGCTTGCAATTTTATTTGCGTTATCCTGTAAGGAATTCTTTCCCCCTTGCTAAAGTCAATGAAATTTCGCCTTTAAATTCTCTTTCCCTTTGCTTTAGCTTGCAATTGATGCTTACTGTAAAACATTTTGTGATACTTTGTATGAAGAATGTTATATAAAATGAAATTGCATTGTATTTATGACCAGTACTATAATAACGGTCTATCAGTGTTTCCATTATAAGCCCCTATTGTTGAAGGCTTTAAAACTCACCCATAAAAATTCACTCAGGACTGCAGCATGGTCTACAAAGGATAAACAAATCCCTTTGGATATTTTTGAGTTATAATATGTGAAATCAAGAATGGAAATTTTTAGAGGTTCCCTCTCATTTTGGTGTGTGTGTGTGTATATATATGTATTCATTCTTTTTAAAAGGTGGGTCAGAAGCATTGTTTCCATCATTTAAGAATGTGTTATCAAAAAGCACCTAAAAAAGTTAATGGATTGCATTGTTTTGCTCCAGCCCATGCCCAACCAAAGGTGCTTGGTAAATTTTCTGGCAGGATCAGGCTTAAACTCCTAAATTGTCATTGATTTGAACAGCATTAGGGACGCCTGACAGCTTGTAGCCCCGACCCAAGAAGAGCAGAAGGTGCAAAGCAGGAAAGAATGAAGTTGCCTGTGTGAGTTCCCCTCCCCCCTCAACTTTTTAATCACCCCTAAAATCCCCTGCAGCATTTTATTGCTGGGTAAATTTGCACACTCAGCTAACTCAGCTGAAAGGTCATTGGCATACGTACTTTTCTTCTGTCCTTATGTCCATTATATTTAAGGTTCAGGGACCTGAAATTGTGCACACTGAAGCCAGGAAGCCTGGGGTGAAACAGAGAGAAGTGTTCTGGTAGGAAGCCAGGAGGACAGGAATTTGAGAGATATAACGAAATGAAAACCAGTAAAGAGAAATGAATTAAATAAAAATCACGAATACCTTTTCAGATGGGAGAAACCCCAAAGAAGCAGTCTGCGGGGGAATTAGTACGCTAAATCTTTCACCGATCAATCCTGGTGGAAGCTTTCTGGTCAAAATGTCAGTGGTAACTTTATTTTCTGCTGGTATGTACAATAATCCTTTTGTTCCATCTGCAAACACTAGGGGGTAAATTTTTAGCGTGATGCTTAGGGATTTAGCTGTAGGACTCCCATTAACGATAATGGGAATCATGTAGCTTGAGCACTCTGCATCGTGCTGAATATTTACCCCTCAGTTCAGAGCACTCTCTCGTTGAATTTTTAATTATATTTACAGATAAATTCCATAACCAAATATCATCAGCTCTCAAGCAGATTGTTTTATTAAAAGGTGCAGATTTCCAACTTCATTTTGAGCTGCAACCTACAGTGATTGGTTTAGCAGCTGAGTAATTTTTTTAAAGTGTCTATTTAATAATGCTTGATTTGTCAGCTTCAGAACGTTTGGGAGACAATAAATATTAGAAAGTATCCCACCCTGCATGCAGAGAAATGCAAAATGTGAATATTCTACCTCGTACTGAGCTTCCAAAAGGTGTGCCATGATACAGCTTCTCTACAAGCTTTTTCTGTGAAGTCCTACTTCTGCATAAATCTGTGGTTGAAATCAGTGGTAGTATACAAACATTCAGCACTAATATGACACAGGTGATACAGTTTTATTTGCATTGTTGAAGATAAATTATAGGAGTCAAAAATAAGGAGATTTGCCCAAGGCCAAAGGGGTTAATGTAAGAGAGGATACTAGAATTCAAGAGTCCCTCGCTTCTGTCCTCTATAGCCTATACTTACACCAAAATATAACACAAATAGAAGAAAATATAAAAGAGATGGTACACATAGAGATCTACCTATCTCCTCCCTGAGGCACGCTTCCAGCTGCTTTTGTAGCTCTTATTTCTTGAAGTAGCTACAACCAGCTCTGCTCTGACACTGTTGAAGTGACCTGACAAGTGAGAATGACTCTGCTGGCTTAGTTCATGTTTGTCTGGCTGGGACAGGAGAGGTGCTTTTTGTTTTAAACTCTGGGTGAGATTAATCTCTTTTTCCAAGTGTTTTGTCAAGGAGACTTAAAGGGTGCTCAGCTAGTCGTGGAGGGCTGTGGTGTGGCTACTTTTTGGTGCAGCTGTTCTAGGGGCCCCCATGCCTATACTCAGCTGCTGTCAGCAGAGGTGCTATGAATAAGAATACAAATTGGTACAGCTTTTTAGTGCCACTCATGGCTGATACATTTCACATGTCACTTTGGCTTGCACCAGAGGACTGGACTGACACAGAGCAATCCTGAGATCAAAAAAGCACAAAGGCATTTTGACTGAGCCTTGTTGTCCCCTCCAGTTTCTTCCCAGACGATGATTAGCTGTCCTCAGTTGAAACGGCCGTTTCAAAGTGTGTGCCCATAAAAGCTTGCCTGCATAGGAGGTTGTCTTTGAAGATTTTTAGGTGCTCTGTAAACGGACCCAAGGAATCCATAAACTGAAAGTTTCTTCATCAATCAATGCACAAGAACTGCCCTCATGTGAAAGTGCAAGCCTTGGCTCCATTAGGAAGTGTGATGTTTCCTGTGAAGGGGATAACTGTGTTCAAACAACTGACTCGAGAGCAGAGACCCTCCCAGGGTATGTTTATACTTAAT